TACATGTACAAGTTAGCAATTCCAAAAATAAAAATGGCCAATTTTCATTTTTGTTCCTATGAACATCATGCATTTGATATTTTAGTATTGTTATGTAGAAGCGGTAAAGGTGCATTGCAGAAAAGGACATGTTCTCCTATTTGAATCCCTGGTTTAAAACAGTAATAGTAAACTATGTTGAATCATACATACATACATCTCAGAAAGAAATTATTACAATTCAAAGCAGATGTTTTTATAAATTATTTTTGACACATAACCATTTCTCCTATTGCTGAGTACGCAAAAATTAGACCCCCTATATTTGCTTCAGGAAGCACCCCCTCCCCCCCCCCCCCCCCCCCCAAGAAAAAATCATTACTATAGGAGTGACTTTTTGCAATGGAGAGATCTACATATGTAGAAAATATACAAGCACTCAATTTGTGTGATGGAAAAATAAACATATTTAAAACAAATGCATCAATAGATATAAGAAGATGTGGTATGAGTGCCAATGAGATAACTCTCCATCCAAGTCACAATTTGTAAAAGTAAACCATTAATGGTCAAAGTACGGCCTTTAACACGGAGCCTTGGCTCACACCGAACAGCAAGCTTTAAAGGGCCCCAAAAATGACTAGTGTAAAACCATTCAAACAGAAAAACCAACGGTCTAATCTATATAAAAAACGAGAAACGAGAAACACTTATGAACCACATCAACAAACGACAACCACTGAACATCAGGTTCCTGACTCAGGACAGGTGCAAACAAATGCAGCGGGTTTAAGCGTTTTAATAGACGCCAAACCTTCACCCTACCTGAAACAATAGTGTAACATCACAACATAGAAAGACACACTATACAATATCATAGTGTAACATCACAACATAGAAAGACACACTATACAATATCATAGTGTAACATCACAACATAGAAAGACACACTATACAATATCATAGTGTAACATCACAACATAGAAAGACACACTATACAATATCAATTGAAATGGCTAAACTCAATCAAAAGACATTTTAACAAAAACAAGTGAACATACACTGAACGAATAAATTTTATCTATGACACAATGTAAATATAAATTAATAAAACAAGGGGGTTAGATTTAAAACAATACCAGAAAGCCCATAACCTTGGACAAAATGCCGCCATATAAAATACACAGGTAAATAAAAATAATTTTGTTGTAAGGTATAATACATGGAGTACGGAAATAATTTTTTTTACAAAATAAATAATGTCTTTAAACAGAACTTAAATATTTTTATAAAAGAGGTAATGTTTTGTTTAACTTATTTATCATGTGTACCATATGAATCATCTGAAATCTGGTAATTTAATTCCTTGTTTAAGATAGAACATTGTTTGAAAAAAAGATTATCTATAATATTGTACGAATTGATCGGTATCTATTATGTTTGAATTTTCCCATAATTCTATAATTTGACGGTGCAAACGAAGACAATTCTTATAAAATTGGAACCATATTGACAATAAGCCAAAATTTGGCAAAAGTTTGAAAATTATTTCAAATTAAGGAATATATCTCCCCTAAGCAAACCTCTGATTCCTTGCAAGGCTTTGGCTTTACTTATTGTCCCTTTTGGACATATCAGCTCTGCAATTTTTTTATATGTTTTGGATTTTCAAATATTTTGGCCTCGAGCATCACTGAATTTACATTAATTGTCGACATGTGCATCTGGTGCAGTGAAATTGGTACCGTTAATGTTAATATTATTGGTTATCATTAGATTTGAATTTCATGGAATACAAAAGGGTCTGGAAAGGTCAAATTGACTACATAAGGTTCGTACACAACTGGTTACAGTCACTGCATTTAAGTACCTAGTATGAATATTTGTGACTTCACATAATTCCAAAATTTTCAACTGCACAATGCATTTGCATATAATATCAAAGATACCAGCAGTTGATAACTGTCAGAGAAATATTCAAGTGCGAGAGCAACCTGCACAATCAAATTATATCTCTTTCAGTTTAGTCACGCGTTTCGTAAAAAAAAACCATGCAAACTTTAGTGTAACAGATTCGTTTTCATTTTCAATTGATTTTTTCTGTTCGAGTCTTCCTTATTTATATATTTTTTAATGGGCCTTATTTCTTTCATTTGTGTTTAAATAAAAGTAATTGAAAAATAAATGGTAAACAGATTATTTGTCATTGTAATTATTACATGCTCTGTAAAGGGTATGACTTTTCACATTTCTAAAATAAATGAGAAATTGCCAAATCTTATCTGTCATTAAATCACTAAAAACACGTTTTTAGTATAAAAAATGTCTATATGAAACACGTAGTTCATGTGTCATTAGACAGTAGTTTGAAATAAATGTCATTCTTAATTTCCATCGATTAATAGTAAAACAATTAAGTTACAAAGAAGAAAGGAAATGATTAATACTCTAACACAATAATAATAATATAATATCCAATATTCATATTTAGAGTTCACTACGTGATATCTAACAACGGTCATGTGTCCATACCTTATGTAAATTAATCAAAATGGTTTCTTTCTTTGAATAAGCGATGTGTCCTTATATAGTAAGATGGGTTTATCAATATCAACTTAATAATATTTTTGACAATATTAATTTCTGTAATGAAAAAGAAACCTGCTTTGTACTAGACCGACGCTGAGACGAGTTTTTAACTTGTTCCTCACACGGTAACAGTTCGCAGGAAAGTATTTTATATTACCTGAACATACTATTTAGATCAAAACCCGATAAGACTATTGGTGGAGAAACCACTGCCAATATCACGAGTTTTCAAGTCATTGGTTTGACCCAGTGCGTAATCGAGCCAAAGACTTCTAGCGATCGAGCCGTGCATGCTTCTACGAAATCACAGAATGTTTTTGGCCTAAAAAAACATTTGTGTACAAAGGGAAACAAAGGACCATACATATGCTACTCTTTTGTTGTGCATGGTGCTCCTTTGGGCACAACGGATGTCCTCTGCGTTGTTTTAGAGACCCCTTAATTTATAGTCGTGTATAAACTCTTTCCTCATTTCATAAATTTCATAAATCATTTAAGTAATAATCAATGGACATAAAAACGTAAAGAATAGGTACAATATTTTCTTTTTTAACAATTAAAATGTATGAGGGAAATAAATTTATCTGATCGTTCCGGTCAAATTATTGTTATTCAAAAAAACTTCAGCGATATTCGTATACTATATAAATATATTCTGTCTCCAGATTTCCCGATTTTATTGTAAGCGAAGGGTAAAATTGACATTACTGCTTATGTCACAGTTCTTTTGGGTGAGAAGAAAAAGACTAAACTGACGACAATTGTCAAACTACAAATTTATAAGTGAATGCTATTTTGCAGGATAAAATCAATTTCATGTAAATTGGACGAAAGTATAAGTTTGTTGTCGCTACCAAACTGTGGGAACATTTGACAGATTCTTTGTATCTAAATTTGCATGGCCTGTTTTTGAAAAAGATCCCCAGAAGATGTTACAGGATGTATAAGTGCAAAATCAAAATGTTTTTATATTATTGGACCTTGGACTAGAACATGTATGATTTTCAAATCCCTTTGTTCACATAAAACTTGGAAAACTTTTAGTAGCATATATTACTAATAAGATTGTATAAAACAATAAGACCTCAAAAATGTATTATTTTCCATGTCATATGAAACTATGATTTTCGGCTATTTAGACACTTAATACGGATAATGTTTTATTGAAATGTGCTGTTATAACGCTTTGTAAATCATTTCAAATTGAGGCATGTATCTCTCTCGTGCATAGCTCTGATTCCTTGACCGGATTTGGCCTTATTTTTGGTTCTTTTTGGTTTTATCATCTCTCCCGCGTTTAAATAAATTTTTGAATTTTCAAATATATTTGCCTCGAGCATCACTGGAGAGACAATAATTGTCGAAAGAGGCGCAGTAAAAATGGTACCGTTAACGTTGTTTTACATGATATTGTGTGATGTTAGATCATCTGATATTACTTATCAACGTATTTCATACGTTTGTAGGAGTAATACGATGGATGTAACATAGGGAGCAGCATCTGCTAACCCTTTCGGAGCACCCGAGATCACCCCAGTTTTTGATAATGTTCGTATTGTTCAGCTTTAAGTTTTTTCTATGCTATGTTTTGTTGACTGATTGTCTTTTCGTCGTTTTCCGAGGTTTTTTTGCGTTTTTTTTTTTGCCATGACATTGTCGGACTCGGACTTTGAATATCCCATAGGTGACACTTTGACACTTTAATATGTAACTCAGAAACGGGAAGATATGGATGGATAAATGATGAGCTTGAAACAAAGTCCAACCATACATAATCATAATTATAATATCTTAGTTAAAAAATAAAACTTCATATACTCAATTTATATCTTTACGGTCGAAGTGCCATTCAGATTTAAACCAGTACTGTAAAAACAACGGTATCAAATTAAGATTATATTTGGAACAAAAAAAAATACAAAAAAAGCTCAACAGCGATATTATTTTTGGAAGATGAAATCTCATTTTTTTTCGTGAAAAATTCTAATTTCACATGCATAACTTTGTTCATACTAAGTCCATAACAACAAAGCGGATTTTACCCTCAAAATTAGCAACTGAAGCCTTAATTCAGTTCCAAGAATCAATATCGACGAAAAATTCATATACACAGATCTACAATTTTCCAACATGTATCTGCAAATAATAAAAAAAAAATGAAAATTTTCACACATGGAAAATAGGAAAAAACCATTGTAAGTTCTGAAAAAAGATTCCCATTGTAATTCAAAATGTGAGTTAAATCTGAACGAAATTTGAATAAACCAAAACTCAAAAATTACATGAGTCACAGATCACACTGTTCCGAATATTGTTTTTAAATGGCGAATGGAGTCAAGTAGCTGCAACGCAAGTCCTTTGCGGTACACGAAAAAAAGCAATGCCATAAACATAGTATTAAGAAATTTATAAGGTGTAAACAAACAGCTCGGTGATATTTTTATATTTAATATAAAATGAATATTTATCACAAATAAAACTTTCATTTTGGATTTAAAAACATTGTAAAATAACAGTAGCATAATGAACAGCAAACGGTGTGCACGTTGTCATAGTCATGTCACAATACTGATTACTTCATCGTAACGTTGTAAGAAAATCAGTTATCTTTCTTTTCTTCTTTAACCAAACATACCACTCTGTAAAAAAAAGAAATATTTAACTAACTAATCGATATAAGTATGTGCTTATATTGTAATAATTAAATTATGAGTTTCTCTCTTGCAACTATAAAAATTCAATAAGAATAAATCATCGTACATGTACAAGTCTGTATTTATCCCCTCGAAAAATATATATAATTGGAAATTGTTGGTATATAGTGTGTGAAAATGAGACTATATTATATTATATATGCCAAAGTCTAACATTTAACACATGAGTCATTGCCATGAATCTATAGTGCTGTTTATGAATCGGGCAGGCATTCCTCTAAAAAGTATATGGACAGAAGCAATGCTGGGATCCATATAGTTTTTGGGAGAAGACCGAAGGAAGTGGTACGGTTTATTTGTTAAAGTAAAGTTTTTTAAATTTTGATAGTTGAAAGCAGTGTTTAAGTTCCACCTTGAATCGGATATTCCAATTCACTCACTACATCAAACAAAAAAAAGCACTTCAGAAAAGTAGGATAAAATAGTCCTTTTCTGGAACAACGAAGAGTCTAATATCGTGACATATTTAATGCGTTTAAGCAATTAAACTGTAACATTTTTTGTTCAAAACTGTCTTTATTAACACAAATTCACAATACAATATAATCATCGGCCATTGTCCCGGTCCGAAACATGATATAAATATGTATGTACATCAATATGTCGTTAAATGAAATAGGATACCCTGCATCTATCATGTTTTTCAATAACATATGGTCAAATTGCTGCATTGACCCCCTCATAAATTATTGAAAACTATCATTCTGCATTGATAATGATATATTGGTGTAAATTAGATACAATCATTCGGGTTAACGCCCTCAAAGTGTATCTAATACATAAAATAGTTGATATTTAATAAATAAACAGAAGCAATACAAGTCATACAAGTAGTAGATACACTATTTAGAAACGAGTTCTTTATTGTTGTCTGTTGTCTTGAAATCTTTCAAGAAACTACAGAAACAGTACTTTAGACTTAAATACTAAAAAGTTCTCGTTCTTAAATCACTTCTTTAAGGTAATTGTGTTAACGTATTAAACGTGCCATTAAGGTATTTACATGTTAAATGTGCCATTAAGGTATTTACGTATTAAATATGTCATTAAGGTATTTACGTATTAAACGGGTCATAAAGGTATTTACACATTGTGCCATAAAGGTATTTACGTTCATAGCTAATCTTTCTGCTATGATGTTTGTGGGAATTTAAATGATAATCAAACTATAGTTACCTGCATAAGCATGTACATTGTTGCAGGATCGATTCCTGAGGAAGCAGTTTCTGCAGCTGCTGGTTTTGGTGATGACGATGACATTAATAAGCTCATGGTAAGTGGATCCATCCCCCCAGCCTGCTTTGATAATAACATTATCATCATTGGGTCAATGCCTGATGATTGTGGTTGTGCTGCTGGTTTTGTCATTTTCAAAGTTGGTTTTGCTGCTTTTCCTTTTCCTTTTCCAGCCATGGTGTTAGGTCCCATCATTGCAGCTAGTTTAGCCATTTGAAACATTTTTGGGTCCATAATAGGAGCCGCACTCATGTCCATTCCTCCCATTGGCATCTTTCCACCTCCTCCCATACCTTTCATCATTGCCATCATCAATGCAGGATTTTCCATCATACCGGTAAACTGGCAATAGCCTAGAATATTCAAATAATAATTCTAAGAAAGGTAACGGTTATTTAGTCCTTAATCTCTTTTAATTTATTTTTTATAATTAAAATCTATAAATCTATTGCTATAAGAAAATTGGTTCATAATAAAAATTCAATTAAGGAACATCTCTACAACGTTTACGTGACGAAGGAAACGTAGCATTCTATATTGATACATATTTGTTTGTTTCGGTCTAACTCAGCCCCGTCCACGTGTCAAATTAAATATATATTTTTTTAGTAAATAATCGTGAAATGATTGCTAAATATTACAAATTCGTTTGACGGAATAACGATCTCAATCTCATCTTAAAGTTTTATATATGTTGCACATATCCAAAAATCATTCACTCTGAAACAGTTGAAAATTAATTTCATCATTCGAAGACCAGAAATATAATTTCATATTTTTCAAGACGGGGAGTAAACGTAAAAATAATCACCTGTCATTTTTTATTATGGAAATTTCTGAAAATGTATGTATATTTCACCATAAATATATCAAATGACCAATCGACTGACCAAAATTATCGCTGTGTTGTTACTTTCTGATATACGCTTATGTATGTTTAAGACATGTATGACAGCTTAAATGTTGCTTACTACAGAAATCATTGAATATGCGCCATTTATAGCTGCAGTTATCTCGACTGGTTTATCGGCTTGGAGATTTATCTTGTTGAATAGAACCACAAGTAAAGTGTACATTTAGAAAATAACTTTAAAATAAGGACATGAACATTCCGTACGAACATTGAGCTAAATCATTTGTCACGTGACCAGTTGGGGTTTTATCAGCTATGGAGGAAAAGGGAATGAATATGTACCATTTTACCAAATATATACGTTCTATCAAATATTACCTTCTTACGTTTTACAACTTTTTTTTTTAATTTCAAAACAGTTCACTTCGATAAATTACCCAGTTATGATCGAATTTAACTTGAAATTCTTCAGTGTTGTGCTTTTCTATCAGAATAAGTGACGAAGGAGTAATCTCCGAGAGGTCATGGCAAATATTCAAGTTAACGGCTTTCACGTTATTGTGTCTCAATGCCTGGTTATAAAGATGGCACTAGACTTTACTTTTAAAACTTATCATTTTTGTAAAGCTTTAGACTAGAGACGCCAAGGATTCCGAGACCGATTGTAATACATGCAGAGAAGTATCCCTGACAAACGAGTCGTCTACGAAGTTCGAACAGATATAAATGCGTTTCGTCGGTGTTTCCAATTGAGGAAAAAAAACATATACATTTGTACTAAACGTAAGTATCCGATTCGAACATATAATGCATTTGTAATGGGCGATGAAACTGTCCTGATCTCCCGTTTACCAGAAAACAACTCTATAAAAAATAAATGAACTTTACAATTGAATTGTTTGTATGTGACAAAGGTCAGATACTGACTTAAGTAAAGGATAAGTTATGTCACAAGTCCGGACTTCTCTATAAATACTACGCGTGTAACTTCGAATAAGTCGCTTACATTTTCAAGTTGTTCATGTCATTTGTAACACAGCCCTCAAAGCAAAAATAGAGGAATTTGTTTCGTGAAATTAAATGCGCGGATTCTTCGTCATTGATTAGATAGTCATCGGGTCACTATTTGTCTTTTGGACCCCTCAAAACGTGTTTAACTGGTTTGTATTTAAAAATGGACAAGGGAAGTGCTAAAATCGTACTACGAATTTCCTTTTTTAAGCACACAGATTAATTGTCAATTGAATTAAAGTCAATTTTCTTATTTAGTCTTTCCGAGTACTGATTTCCGTTCACGATTTTTCTCTTAACACAAAATTTAAGAATCTCAGTCTACTTTGAGTTTTACATTCTTACAAATACACGTATACTAATACTAATTTAGAATATATTATTTTTTGATAATAAACATCAATAAATTCTTATGTAAAGACAGTTTCTTAAATGATTTATTATTCTCAGTACCTGTATTGATATTAGTAGTACATGTATGTGTTTGCTCAGATTTCGTAGTCACTAGAAATTCATTGTCGTATAAGTTTAAGATTAATTTGAAATTGTATATCTAATAAAAGGATGGGTATATATTGTTTTAAAGTAAAGTTTATGAAATTTTTCAGCTACTTTTATTTATCTATCTCAAACCCCAAAAAAGTGAAATAACGAGTTAAATAAACCCAAATACAAGTATGTGCATAAATTATATGTATTATTAGTATAAAATTGATTTGTATTATATTAAAATATTTGTCTAAATGTTCTTACCAGAACTCAGAAGTGTCGCCACAAGCAGAACCCCAATGTAAACTCTCATGTTGGAAATTATTTTTATGTGACATATACTGTTAGTAGCTTCCCTTTTATACCCAGTTCATGACGGCTGAATTAGCCTTTGGTGTGATGGATGTTTTAATCAAATAAATGACAAGATATTTACGAAATATAGCCATTACTTTACGACTTTTTATTGTGGTGAGTTATTATGTATCATATGTATTATGTCAGTAGAGGATGCTTAAGTAATTTCTGGTCTTTTATCATGTTTTATTTTTAACTTTTGTAACACATGCAGACATTGGTGTAGATGTAGCTTTCTTTTCAAATTATTTTTTCAAACTTATTTTAAATTTCAAAAAACACATAATACACACCAAATTGGAATCCCGATTTATATTAATTTTATCAATTACTCATACATACATTTTTATTGTTTTGAAAATCATATAGAAGAATGGTGTATATCCAACTATATCATCTCCAATAAAATAAATTGTCATTATTTATAATTTATCGATCTATTCATTTACTGGATAATCTCGGGAACCTCCATATCACCCCATGCGTTAGGTCGAGAGATGATATAAATATGAAAAATAATGCGTCATAATTTGATATATACACCGTACTCTGATAAAAGTCCTATTAATAAGTGTTCAGAAATGTTAACTACCTTTCTCTCATTCAATTGGGCTTTTACACTTTTAAGCCTCGCAAGGGTTCCACCTGATATAGCCATAACCAAAAGTTAAGCTGATTTGGTAAGTAATAGGTACATATGGTGTTATGTGAATGCAACTAAAAGGAATCTACTGGCGGGAAATCCTCTACTCGCAAAACAAGTTACTTTTCAATGAAGAGTAAAGTTAAGCCAAACGAAAAAATGCCAATTAATCAAGATTGAAAAGATTAAGGGACGAACATTAAATATTTTCGGAAGAGGGGAGAGAGGGTGGGGATCGGAGAATTTTGAAAGTGAAACAATTGTGTACAAAAGTGACTTTCGCAGGAGATAGAAAATAATCAGATGAAAATGTATAGATGTATAAAAACCAAAGCAAAAGTAGATTTCTAATAACAAAATTATGAATGGTTTTAATTTTCAAAACGCATGACTATTATATCACTCTCAGGATGTTTGTTTGTTCATTTGACCTTAACATTATATAAGTAAATACACATATAACTACATAATAAATTATTTGATTATTGTCCTTTCATTTGTACAATCTGACATGCGAGCATTTCCTCAATGTGTATTGCATATTCGTTTTATCATAGTTGACATTTGACAGGTTAATGAACAATGACCTCAACATCAAAGGCTGACTGCAACTACATGTACAAGTTCTGTTTACGTTCTTATAACTATGACCTTACGTCGACATTTCAACTCGAGGTCAACCGAGAACACAAAACAATAACATTGTAACATATTGATGGCAAAGTGAATATACATGTACTTATATAAATATGATTTTTTTTATATAAAAAATAGTTTAAAGAAAGGTTTGATATTGTTTTTTCTGTTCTTCTTAAAAACCATTTGCAAAAAATCGTATTTCAACAGTAGGCTTAAAAAACAAAAAAAACAGTTGTTTTTCCTTTAAATCTTTATTTTTTTTTAAAGATTCTGTATGAAATTGGTTTGTCAGAATGTATTCAACATTCCAATTTGTCAAAATTACGTCGCAGAAAGTATAGTTATATTGTTTACGGGTAGGGTTTATATCGGGGTTGTCAAAAGAATAGAGAAAAAGACAAGAAATGATAATGTCATTTGGATGCCTACAATTAACAGTACCAATACTGAATTACTACAGACCTTCTAAAATTCAAACTGACCACACGCACGATACACGCACGCACGATACACGCACGGTGAATGCACGATACACGATACACGCACGATGAGCGATGAGCGTTACACGGAGGATTAACGAAAAATGAATGATGAATGATGAACGCACGATACACGCACGATGCACGATGAATGATGAACACACGATACACGCACGATACACGCACGGTGAATGATTCATTGACGAATGAACGATAAGCGCTTGATACACGGTTCTCAAAGCCATTTTATTTGGAATTGCATTTAAAAATTGATGTATGATAATGAAAATCTATAAGGGTATACAAATTTTAGATATCTCGCTTTCTGTGTTGATTGGTCGACAGTTTTACTAAACACTCCATGTATTAAATAAATAAATTGTAGTATAGTATTTCCAATATCAATGAGTGTTGTCAAATTATAAAACTCATCGATTTTATAATTCTACTAAATATAAATAATTTAAAAATTGCTACGTTTTAAAGAGTGGCGATTCCAGCCATTTTTAAAAAGAGGGTTCTCAACCCAGGATAAAAGGGGTGGTTTTAACCATATGTCCCCATTCAAATGCATTGACCCCCCCTTCTTTTTATCTGCCTAAATTTGTAACCTTAACTAATTAATTATCATATGTTTACGTTCCGAAATTTAGGAAATATTTGTATGTTTCGAAGTTTAGTAAGATGTCCATTATCAATGAACTAAAATTCATTTTTGTTTAGGGACCAGCTGAAAAACGACTTCGGTGCGGGATTTTCTACCCATTGGTGGTCTTCGACTGTTTTCTGCCTGTACGTCTAAACACTGCTAAGGACTTATAATATGCCACTAAGGACTAGAAATGACGTGTTACTTGTACTCTGTTTTCATACTATGGTAGAGATAGATAAATTTTTATTACATAAATTCCAATTTTTAAAAGAAAAAGAATCACCATTAAATGAGTAGTTGAACAATATTTAGAACGTGCCGGTTTTTCATTGATATTGCCAAAAATCAGTGATCCGACTGACACGAGCGAACTTACATAACAACTGATTAAACAATCATAATCTCTTTTTTTTTTACTTAAGTTACAATGTTCCTTATATTATCAGAATCGTATGAGTTAATTTAGAGCAAAATATATAATTTGTCAGAAAAATCTGATTCGTACAAATTAATTAGAAATAGCTAAGAAAATGAAATTTACCAAATAATGAGAAAATTTAAACATTTGTAATACCAAATACTTCATAATATACTTCTGAAACGACTTTTCGTCCTGAATATGCATGAAATTTTGCCACTGGACTTTTAAACAACCACTGAATAATCAATCAATCAAATTTTGCTCTCAGTAAAAATGAATTAAACAATGTAAGCCACAATTGTATCCATCACTTGGTGTCTGTTGTTTGTTTGTACAGTAAACATACTGAATCTTTTTATATTCCTTATACAATTTCAAGTATGTAATAAAATTCATACATATTTTCAAACATCCTGGCACTTCAAATTTCTAGGAGGTGAGATTCTCGGGGTTTTACCTGAAACTCTTTGGGAAATGCAATTTTTAATTCCAATTCCAATTCCAAACTGTAAAAGATATCCCAAGGTTTTTTAAAATGCATTTCTAATTTGATAAGGAGATTTGAAAAAAAACGATCTCAATGGTAGTTGAAATTATTCAGTGCAATCATTTTGTATCCGCCGTTGTCTTTCATACATATCAATTGTTTGCTGTTCGTTATCTGTTGTTTATGGCAGTTAGGCCTCGCGATCGGTCTCCAAATTTAAGCCCCCACTTAGGTAAATTAATGATCATTTATAAGGGGGGGGGGGGGTTTTCTCGGGACAAACATTATTTTCCTTCCTTAAAAACAACTTAACAATTTTCTATATTTTTCATTTAATCATAAACCGATGAATATTAAATGATTTTTAAAAAATTAAAAAAATATTTTTATTCTAATATATCTAAATATCTGGGTTATTTTCTTATCCAAATAATTATTTTTTCATTTTTTAAGGAAAAAGTGTTATCAGTTATGGCCCCCTCATTTTAGACATGACATTTTGCTTGCTACTGTATGAAGATTATTCGTTGCAACTTTTATGAAGAAATTACCGACTTTTTTTAACTAGATAAATATACAACAAAAATACCGTTTTTTTCTTCTTGTATCAATTTCTTTTCACAAAAATTAAATATTAACAAAGAATTGTTACACAAATGTAGACCCCCAATTTTATAACGAAGATATTCCTAATCTCTTTATCGAAATCTGCATATCTTTATCTTTTGAAACAAAAAAGTTAAGGATGTCTGTTCAAAGGACAAAAATGTCCAAGAAACCGAAATGTTATAAGTAAAATTTTTTAATGTCGAATAATTCAAACCCATTTGTCTTTTAAATTTAGCACATGAAAATATAATTTTTATTACATATACAAATTGATTTTGTAAAAATTAGCTTGTATATATGTGAACTTTTGTAAAAAAAAATCACTGTGGTTCTAAAACTGTATCACATGCCCATAATTGTCCTAAAGCTAAATGTCATCGTCAGATTATGAGGGTCTGAATAGGGATTCATTATTTCTGTATTCTATCATTTTAGGCAATTTTTTCTAATCGTTATACCTTTTGTCGATCATTCTTTATTCCATATATTCTAGTACCTCATCATTTTCTTTTCTATATATTTGTCTGGTTATTTTTTGTATTCTTTATTTTTTGGTCAATAATTTTCTATTCTATAAACCCCAATCCACACCCTCATGTATAATGGAAGACGATAAACATTTTAGTATACATACCACCCGTTGTCACTCTCACCTGACATACAAACCACAAATTGTTATTTTTACCTGGACACGGGACTTATATAATTACGTAATAATAACGGATATAGTAAATTCAGTAGAATATAACCTGTATCAACGCACTGGCTTGTTAAATGAATATTGATCTGACAACTGTTTATCATATTTTTAGTTATTTTAAAATTGAGAATGGAAATGATGAATATGTCAAAGAGACAACAACCCGAAAAGAGCAGATGACAGCCGAAGGCGACCATATTTGATAAGGTTTTAGTTTCTAATGAGACAGTAACCATCGTATTTTCAGAAAATCTCGAAACGGATAATGAGAGTTTAGCGACCTTGACCGGCTATACAGCCCAAGCACGGTTGGTCTCTAAAAGTTGCCGAATTTAAGAGCCTATATCAAGAGATAGGCTTTACCT